CTCATGAGTATTACTACCATATCCTTCTCCATGTAGATACCAAACAAAATATTGCGGCATAAACCCTCTATTTAATAAATGCGACACGGTTTTGGTTAGTGTATACCTCGTATTCTTGCATTTCAAACAAGGACAAAACATCTTCCCACTATCTTTCGTTCTCTCCATATTTGTAGTCTGATACATAAATATTTCTAACCCGTTCTTGAACTCTTCTGTCAACGCCCCATCTGAATCTTTACGCATATACATCCAACTTCTTAGCTCGTATATAGACATCTTGAAAATAAACTCAAAATACTATCTCTTTTTATTGATTAGACAATAAAGGAGGTAGTCTCTTGTGTCACGTCTAGCCACGTGAATGGAGTAAATTAACCTTATAATATTATTACTTTTTTTTTTCAAAGTAATATAACTCTTAATTCGGGTTTCCAGCAATGGACAACCCAATATATAAGGATTTACAACATTATACTAAAATTTAAGAGACCTACAATGGGTCTCCAAGATGAAGATGCTCTTATGTTTGAATGATGATGTGTTGTGATTGAATGAAGGAATGAAGATCTATTTATAGGAAAATTTCGGGCTTTACAACGCTTTTACGACGACTTTTTACGACGGTTTTACATTCAACAATAATATTACGACGAGTTTACGATGATTTTGCGATAAAATCTTTCATCTACAATTGTTAGGTAAACATGTTTTAAATGTTTTTCACCTAACTTCTTTTTCGACGTAAAATCGTCGTAATATGTACATCGAAATGAAGTCGTCGTATATTCGTCGTAATTTTGCATCGAATTTACGACGATTTTACATTTACTAAATCTCTCGTTATCGATGTATAATCGTCGTAAGTCGTCGTAAATTGTACGTCGAGTTTACGATGATTTTTTTATACGACGGTTTTACGACGGTTTTAAAATTAGACGTAAGATCGTCGTAAAATCGTAGTAATTTTGCGACGATTTGAAAACCATCGTAATGGACCGTTGGAAAATGATTGTTTTTTTGTAGTGGTTGTCTACAACGGACAAGTATCCCGCCTGTAAACACGCCAAACAGATCTCCATGCACCACGTTAAAAACTTCATGTAAGTTTGTTTCCATTAATCTGCAAATTAATAATAAATTGCACTTTTCGAAACTCGAAACCCAATTTTCTTGGTGTAGAAGCATTAATGAACCTATTTAGATTATGGGAATTTCCACAATTAAATGTTATTTATAATAGTTTTTTTTTTGGGTAAAAAACAAGTGTTTATAATAGTTGAAAGGAAAAGGGAAGCTAGACATCAGGAAAGTACGTAGCCCATGATTTGAAACTGAACTTTTCCTCTTTATCAAATTTTCAAACTGGTTTCAAAACTTTCAATTAGATAGATAAACCATGACGTTAAAATTATAGAGTGTAAAGATCATTCTATAAGAAACTTTACTCGCAAACTAACAAAAATATATAAACCGTGTGAGCGTATAACACAATTGGTTTGTTTAAGCTTTTTTTTTGATATTACACGTCGACATGAATACTCGTTTGTCCCGACACATTTAATAATACTAGTAGAACATATCCATTATTCAAAATTGCATATTGAAGTTCATAAAAATTTGGAAGTATCCAAACTTACATTCAATATATATATATTCGGGACGTACAAAAAGTTGTCGCACTGCTATTTACTGCATGTGTACACAGTATTAACGTTCACAATAGCATTGACTAGTGTAAAAATAATTTGATTGTACGTTTCTCAACCAAAAAAAAACTCAAGCTCACTGTTTTTTTATCTTCTCAGCAGTAACCAAACAACAATTCCTTCTCTTACTCGTTCCAGCAAGTTTGAGACCAAAATTATCAAGAACACCCACTACCCTATTAGGCGGAAAAGATAAACTCAATAAAGACATGGATTTCAAACCATTTTCATTATGATACTCTGAAGTAATCTAAACATTTTTCATATAAGAATAATTAACCACATATCACCTGATGCAATTGTTCTCTAACCTAAACTCTTATTGAACTCATTTTGACTTGAGTGTTAATTTATAGGTTTTCAGAATGTACCACACTGGTTTCTTTAACGATTTCTTTTTTCTTTCTCTAATGCAAATTTGTTTACTCTCTAGGGATTTCCTCCCAAAATGTGCAGGAATACGCATAGAAAGAACAAAAATCTTGCTATGACACGATATAATCACAAGTTTATGTACGTACTTATTAAAAGTTAAAATATTTTGATGATGGTTTAAAACATAAGAGAATGGTAGCTCAGGAATGTGTTTTGTTCAATTACATGATCTTATTTACAATATGATCTAAATATGCAGTGAGAAGATGTTAAAAAGGAACATAAAAAAAGCCATAAAGCTGAAGAACATGTTTGTAATATTATCAGTAAAACAAATCCAAAAGACAAAGCATATATATGTAATTAAGACAAGATGGGAAGTGTTTGGGGACATTGACTATACTTTTCTTGCACATTAAATAAATCTCAGTTGTAATTAAAGTTACAAACCATATTCATTTGTTTCATGACACCATAAAAATTTATTATTGTTTTTATAGTCCATTTAGGTTCCACAACCTTTTGATCGCTCGTACGTACATCTCTTCAAAGAAATTGATGTGATTTTATTTAGAATATATATTTTCAATATAAAACGACTGAACCACTATCGTTGGTGTTGTAATATCTTAAGATACCATAAAAATGTTTTAACTCGAAAAAGTACTACTACTTCCAAAATTCCAAGAGATTTTGTTAAATTTTATTTTTGTACTAGTATTTTTGGAATTTTTGTATTTTGGTGTTTATATTATTAAAGGTGGTTATATTTCTGGGAATTCAAGATAAATTTTAACTGTTTTTATAAATAGAACTGTGAATATTTTTAAAAAATTACTAGCTCATTCGTTAAAATCAGAACATGTATTTATAAAGAGCCAATTAATTATATATTTGGAGCTTAACCACTCTTTTTTTTTTCAATTATATTTGGTTTTCTTCCATTTATTCTCTCTCGTTTTTTATTATTCTTGAGAACCAATTAAACGATATGGAAGCAAATAATATTTATTGGAAGAATTTTTTGAGAGCTAAGTAAAAATTCTTCCAATAACTATATATATATATATATATATATTTTCACCCCCACTTATATTCTCATATGTTTATTGGACCTTTATTTGGAGTTTTGTTGTCCCTCTGTTCGAAGCATTCTTTGCTTAAAGACAGGTTAGCCCCAGGAATAAAGCCAAGTTCCCACCCCCAACGTTTTGGGTTAAAGAGATACATTTTACATTTTTTAATATATTTATGCTTGATTTTATTTCTTTTTAAGAAAGTTTAGCATCATCGAACATGTCCTTCGAGTTTCCAATTTTTTGGTCTACTGATCGAATTACAGTTCGATGCTGTTGGTATATATAGTACTGGATGTTTGAACAGAAAACAAGTTCAATAGTGTATATAGTAGCTGGAGTAGATTACATCTACAATGTATATTGCATTTAGTACGTACTCTATTTAATATATTGTATTTTTGCGGGTTGACGATCTATATCCTCATGGGAACTATCATATAGCACCAGATCCACACGAAACTATGACCTTGTTTTAGACGTCCATGAGAGGAAAGTTGTAAATTTAAATCCCCATGTAATAATAGTTCGAAATCTACTTCCCCAAATGTGTTGGTTTTTACGGTTTCTGCCAGTTTGCGATGTAAACCCGAGAGTTAAACCATCAATCGCTGAAATCAAACCAAAAAAAAACCGACCCGAACTAAAAAAACCCGATTCGAACCCGACCCATGACAGCATTTTATTCCCACATTGGTCCCAAAATCCCCAAATCGAAAAAATTCAGTAAGAACCCTAAATTCGATTCTGGAAAATCGATTGTTGTAATCAGTAATTTCTGAAATCGAGGGTAAGTATAGTGTTATGGGTTCATATTTGAGTGTTAATTGTAGTATTTTTCTTATGTTTCGTGGTCCAAAATTTGGTGATGAGTTTCGTTTTGTAGGCTGAATTTGGTGATGTCTGGAGCATCGAGCAATGTTTCAGGAGGTTCTAGTGGATCATCTTGTGGTCGTCCAAGAAGAATTGTGGGAGTTCCGAAGAAGTGTTGGTGTGGTGAACAAAATGTGGCATTGATTTCGAAATCAGACCACAATCCTTACCGGCGTTACTATCGCTGTGCTTTTGCTGCATCGAAGAAGGTAATGTGTTGAATGAATGTTTGATTTCTGTGATTAGATGGTGTTTAAGTGTTTTTATTGATTTCATTTTATTGATGTCGATGTTGTGAATTCCACTTTGTAGCTTGTCAATGATAATCACAACTTCAAATGGGTTGATGAGGCTTTGTTAGATGAGATTGAAAAGCTGCAATTGAAAAATTCAAGGCTTGAGCAAGTGTTAGAAGAGTTAAGGGCAACTGAGAGCATGATTTTTGAGAAGCTTGAGAAAGAGACATTTGATAGGGTTGAAGATGTGTTGGTTGAAGCTAATAGAAAGATGAAGAAGGTGGTGTTGCTAGGGGTCGTCGGATGTTTGCTCGTGGTTGGGATTATGTCACTTCTTAGGTGAAGATTATGAAGAAGGTGATTTTGGTAGGGGATTCTATCACTTGTTGTTCGTTTAGTCTTGAATGATGTATGTTTTGTGTCATCTTATTGTCTTGTTAGTGGGAGTATTGTGTCTTATTGTTGTAGTGTCAAGTAACTTTGTGTTCAATGAAATGAGTTTTGGCAATTATGTCTTTTCTTTTGAATTTAGTCAATGACAAGAACAAGATTAGAGCAATAAAAATCCATTACAAAACTAAAACAAGTGGGCCAAAAGTAATGAGCATACACTCATATTCCAAACCAAATGCAAGAATCCAACATTACTTTCCCAAAAACATCAATCTCTGACCCACCTAAAATATTAAAAAACTGAGAAGATAACATAAAAAACAGACACATCTTCGACATTACTCTTCGGGCCATACTATCCATGGGAAGAGTTTACTCCGAACACCTTTAATAGGTTCAACCTGCGAAGCTTGAGAACCCTTGGACTGACCTTGAGAAGCAGACGGCTGACCCTGAGAAGAAGCAGACGGCTGACCCTGAGAAGAAGCAGACGGCTGACCCTGAGAAGAAGCAGACAGCTGACCCTGAGAAGAAGCAGACGGCTGACCCTGAGAAGAAGCAAAAGTCTGATCTTGAGAAGCTTTCTTCTTCGCAGGAGATTTCTTCTGTGGAGGAGCAGGAGCTATCTTCGTTGCAGGAGCTTTCTTCTTTGGAGGAGATTTCTTCTTTGCAGGAGATGGCGCTTTCTTCTTTGCAGGAGTTTTCTTCTCTGGAGGAGCAGGAGCTTTCTTCTTTGGAGGAGCAGGAGCTTTCTTTTTTGCAGGAGATTGAGATGGCTGTGAAGCCGCAGCCTGAGTAGTTGAAGCCGGAGGCAGAACAGAAGGAGCAGCTGAAGACCGAACAGATGAAGCTTGAATAGCTGAAGGTTGAACAGATGGAGCAGCAGAAGGTTGAACAGAAGGAGCGTTACCTTTATCCTGCAAAAAACAGGTAACCACATACATTAGACACCATAAAGCACAGGACATACCCGAGAAACCTAAAACAAAAAAATGCTAACCTTTTTGTGGAATCTAGAGTTGTGGTCAGCTTTGCCACATATTCCACAATGCATGATTCTTTTTTTGTTTGGTGGTTGCTTCTTTGTTGGAGACTCATTCACGCCTTTCTTCCTCTTTTTGTCTGCATTGGTGACCTTCTTTCTACCTGGCTGTGGTGGTTCAGGAGGAATGTGGACATCCGGAGCATCAGAACGAGGCCAAAATGCAGCTCCTCTAGTAGGTACAAGTCCATCAGTATAGTTCCTCCTCCACATAGCAGTGCGGAACCAATGACAAACAAAGTCTTCAGGGACCAGTTTTTTAGACAGAATCACCCCATAAGCATGCTCACATGGGATGCCACAAATCTGAAACTTCAAACAGGTGCAACTCCTCTTCTCCAAGTTCACTCGGTAATTACAACCTCCTAACCTTGCCTTATAGTCTCCATTTGTGCTTCTAGTAACTATGCAAAGCTTAGCTTCCTTGTACTCCTTCACAAGGAACTTAGTGACATAAGGCGTGCATATCCCTGAAATGACAAACACAAACACAAACCCACAATTACCAAATATAACAAGTCCACAAATACCAAAAATAACAAGTCCACAATTAAACCAAATACACTTACCATTGTGATCATGAGATTTGGCCGATCTTTTGGCTATACGTGCCATAGCTAGCCTTCTTATTGTTTCCAGCATAGGCACAAATGGCTTCCATCTTTCCTTTTCGATACTGCTGTTAAAAGACTCGGTAGAGTTGTTCTCAACATCCTCACAATAGTTGCCCATCTTGTAGTTAAATCTGCACCAAGTCCTTGGATTCATCTTCATCACGTCATTGTAAACACCAACATCATAATTCAATAGCTGGTCCAAACGCCAATTATACTCAGCCTCATTGTAGCTCCACGCCAGATTCCATATGTATTTCTTCATATCTTTTTTAGAAGCATGGTTCTTCTTCAGATTCCCATAGATGTGTCTGACACACATTCTATGTTCGATCTTTGGCAACTCCATTTGAACAGCTGCAATCAGTCCCTGAAACACATGAACAATTCAACAATAGATTAGTCCATACTATCATCACCCTATATTTCACTTATTAAACATACAAACACATTAAACATATTACCTTTTGACGATCAAAAACCATAATAAATCCATCACCATCATTCAACTCCAAGTCGTGCTTCAACATCCTCACAAACCATAACCAATTCTCAGTGTTTTCAACTTGGACAACACACCAAGCTATTGGGTATATGGAGTTATCTGCATCTCTCCCTAATGCCGCCAATAACTGTCCCTTGATTTTGTGCTTCACGAAGCAGCCATCTACTCCTATAAGTGGCCTACATGTATTTTTCCAAGTTTTTCTGAGGTTTTCAAAGCACACGTAGAACCTGTTAAACTCGTCTTCACCTTTCTCATTTGTCAGCGTTTCAACCACCACATTAGAATCCTCATTTGAATGACGCAACTCAGCCGCATAGTCTCGGAGACGAGCAAACTGGCGATCATACTCACACTCGATCCACCTCAATGCCTTATTCCTAGCTGCTTGACATTGTGGCCTAGATACAGTAATTCCCCACTCCTCCCTAATCTTTTCTTCAATCTTCATAGGCATATAGTATTTCGGTTCCTCTCTAATCTTATCGAGAAACAACCTAGCGATTTGTGGAACCTTTAACATTGTAACCTCTCCATTAGGTGTACATGAATGCTTGTCATTCAATATTCTAATCTTCCACAGAGCATCTTTCTCCCGAGTTGAAGCATAGACTCGCCATTGACAGCCTCCACTTTCTTCATCACCACCAAGACACTTAAATGAAATGTTAGTCTTATCATACCTCGTTTGCTCCAAATTACGTCCAGTACTCAGTGCATAGTCGAGCACATTCTCCTTGAAATCCACTCCATTGAAAAATGACTGGTTGAGATACAATATCCCATTACCACGGCTAAAGGATGTCCGTGGTCTCGGCCTCGTCGGAGCTGCCTCTCCCTCATCATCGTCATCACTTTCTGGAATGTTGTCGTGGAAAATCGAAGGCTCGTCCTCAAATTCCTCCACCATTTTCTCGATTTCAGTTGCATCTCTGTCTACTTCTTCTTCATCGAAATCGTCTTCGCCAAGCGCACGACGAATGACTAAGGCCATCGAAATCGTCGTCAACCTCTTCCTTCAGCTTTGATTTCGAATTCGATTTCTAGGGTTTAGGATTTGGGAATTTTGAATTTGGGGATTTTTGTTGGGTTTTGGTTTATTAGTTTGGTTTTGGTTTATTAGTTGTAATCGGGTCATACTCCGGGTCATGATTGGTTTAACAACGCTAATACTTGGTTTAGCTTTGTTTCCGATACAGTTATCCAACTAAAACCGACCCCAATGGAGTTTGGGCTTTCGAACTTTGTAACTGTGGGGAAGTAGATTTCGAACTATTATTACATGGGGATTTAGATTTACAACTTTCCTCTCATGGACTTCTAAAACGAGGTCATAGTTTCGTGTGGATCTGGTGCTATATGATAGTTCCCATGGGGATATAGATCGTCAACCCTATTTTTGCAAACATAAATTAACTGCTTAGGACGAAAAATTCTAAACACCTGAAAACTAAAATTTACTCTTGCAATAGCTTCATAGTTTGGAATTCAAACTTTGAATTCTTGTACATACACGTTCTTATACAGTTATTGTTTAGTTTTAAATTTTTAATTATGAAAAGCTTACAAAATTAAAGTTAATACAGACAAGATGTGTGTAAATGTAATCCCTATTACTTAACCACGAATCAACGTTAATATCATCAGCCTGTGTGACTTTGGAGAATGATTTTGTAATGCCTACAGCCTACCTATATTTAGTAATTTTATAACTAAAAGTGTGTTTTAGTTAATCTTTAACGGAATGGAGTGAATTTTTCTACAATTGTTTTTTTTTTCAAAAGAAAAAAAACATGAACAACACGACTAAGTAAAGTCAAGCAGCTTATGCATCATATTTTCTTGTAATTTTAAATGAATCTAACCTATAAGTGCGAATATTTCACAAGAACTATACGTACTTTACACTTCATGTAAAACTAATATGATCTCTTTTATTTTATGAATTTGTTTTTTCATATTACTAATGTGCTTTGTTGTATATATTTTGAACATTCAGATCAATTGTAATCTCGTCTTTCTAAAATTTTATGATTCGCCATGCTAATTGTAATGTTCACTACGTAAACAAAAAGCATTGTAATCGTCAGTGAAATTCGAACTCATATATTTCTTAATAGTAATTTGCATCTTCAGATGATCGGTTAACTACCATCATCAATGTTGGTGTTTTGACTTCATATTTCGTTTTCACAATATCTATATTTATTCACATAACGTATGACACATTTTAAGCTGTTAAAAAACGTATGACATATTTTACATATGCAAGTAAAAAACAAAATACTTCATTTTTTTGTTTTCATAAAAAAATACTTGGTCGGAGCATTACGTTTACAATATAGTATAAACGAATCGTACATGACAAACAAACATATCACATGTGTAAACAAAACAGCATAGCTGTATCACATACTTCAATTTTCCATCTACCAGGCTAACATTAATCCATGATGGAGACACTATCGAGATCTAAGCACTTCAACTTACAAATTGACTAGAATCACTTACATTGTATACCTTAAAATAAGCTTAACTAGATGATCAAATATACATATAGACAATTACAAAATTCGCGATCATTATAACCAAATGGTTTTTGGTATGGTTATCGTTGTTGCATCATTACCCGAATTTAACTCCACATAATGCAATCATATTGTTGAAAAAAAATTATAAAGTTCATATAAAAAATGTATCGACTGAGAATATAATCGGTACTTATTTTACTCATTTAGTAGAAAAAGATAAAAAATAAAAAAAAAGCTCACACATGCTCATATCTAAAACAAGACAAAACGATGATACATATTTTATTTTAGAATATACATATATAAAAATAATTTAAAAGAGACGAGAAGAGAACCCACAACAAAGCGAATCGTGATGCGACCGTTCCCTTGGCCTGTCAAATATATCGTGACCATAACCCGACCCGGTTTCAGCTGTCTTTAACCAATGATAAAATGCCACGTAACCTACTTCCAGCACACGTAAGCCATCTCCGTCACCGTGTAGACAAACATGGGCCCTCGCTGCCGTCTCTTAACGAGACCAATTTTCATCGGCACACCAAAGCCTTCTCCGTTAAAACTCACGGTGTTTTTTTTAACGCCGTTAAAAACTTTTCTTTCCTCCAGGTATAAATACCCAGAGGAGCTCTGGTTCTCCTCTCTTTCTCGTTCGTTATAATTTCTAGTTAGAGAACAAAAACTCGGAGCTCCGTATCAGTTCTCGGGTGACCCGATAACCCGAATTATTCGACCCGGTTGTTCTTTCTTTTTTTGAATTAGTTTCGGCCGTTTCTCATTTTACTGTTTTTCAAAAAAAAATTCTTCTCTCCGGGAAGAAAATCGTCTGTTCGAGAGATTTCTGGGGATTTTCGCAGTGAGTTTTCTTGCTTCGCGAGAGTGTAGATTTTGTTCCAAAATCCAGATTCGATTTCGCACGAAGAAGACATTTCAGGTCAGTAAGATTTTTTTGTTTCTCGGGAAAAGAGATTCAGAGATTCGTAGCTTTTACATTTTCTCATTCTGTAGAAGCGATTGAGAAAAGAAAACAGAGATTTGTCACTGGTTTTTTCGATCGATCTTTTCAAACTATTTTTTCCCGGAAAAAAAAAAAGATTCAGAGAGTATTTTTGATTTTGTATTGCCTTTACCTGTTTGCATTTTTCCTCCACTGTCACTTGATTGATTTGATTTTGACAGATTCGATTCGTCACTTCTCTCTCTCTCTCTCTTTCTTTTATAAGAATATGCAAATAAGTTTCCAAAATTTTCTCCAGTTTTCGATTTTCTATCCCGCTTTCTAAGCATCCAAAACAGATTTTCTACAGCTTTCCAGGAAAAAATATCATCTGTTTCTTCATCATTTCTTCATTCCAAAAGTTTTTTCTGATATTTATTGTTTCCTAACTTTTACTTTTGCTTTTACTTCGCCGAATCTTTCATCATCAATTCGTTTTCCCACATTTACTCCGATTTCTCTCTGTAACACTACTAATGTTGTGCAGCCATTGATGGTCTATTTATAGGCTTTAGACACAGAACAAAACCCCACTCGTGCCGGCGACGAAAATAGACCAAACCTAAAAGAGGAAATAAAGCAGACCTCAAAACCCATTTTCTCAGATATCGAAACAAGGTTAGTAACAAACAAACCCATAATTACATTCTTGTCAAATTTAATGCCTGGAAAAATCAAAACTTCAAACTTTGGATATATTCAATAAAGACGTTTTCTGGGGATAAAGAATAATAATGGCTCTATGCATCAGTTTTTGCCTTTGCTTTTGATATCAAAAACCAGAGTTTTATTACACCATCTTCGTAATTCGTGATTGCTGCAATTTTTTTTTTTACTTTTGTATCGAATACATTCATATCAGTAGCTTTCATCTCTCGACACGCTTTAGATTGGTCCATCATCACACATAAAAAACCCTAAAATAGAAACCAAACTCTTTTTCTTTTTACAAACACGTGACTGTCAAGATTCCATTTTGTTGTTAAACATTGAATATTTCATATTTTTACATATTTTGTTTCCGGTTTTGAATGGTGTTAAACACGGGGGGAATCAGAAGATATTATTTGATTCTTTTGTCAATTTAGTAATTTGTTTCAATTAATGTGATTTTGAAAATGTCAGAAATTTCGGCTACTGTAAAAATGTTTTATTCTTCCAACTTTTGATATGTGTAAGTTGAGGGATGGGTTCTTTCCTTCACACAAAAGCACTATTGAATCTAATTTTATCCCCAACAAATAAAAAAACAAACTCTTTAAAGTAGAATAAAGAGAACCATTTGTCTCTATTATGATCCTCTTTAGAATAAGATGATTACTTAAAATAATGTGTATTTATACCATTTCAGGTGTTTGGATTTGCGCAATTCTTAAATTATATTTCAGTGTTAACAAAAAGAAAACCAAATTTAAAATTATTTCTCACTGGGGTCCTATCCTCTGATCCCCAAGTTCTCTTTCTTTTCTGGTTTCTAATATCTTTTCTTTTAAAAAACAAAAGTGTAACTTGTAGTTTTAATATCTTTCAACACTTTTGTCTCTATCAAGATCACTCCACTAATCATAAACCTCCGTAGCTTATATTATTTTATTCCAACTGTTTTTTTTTTTCTGCTTCAGAAATTTAATCTCCGAGGTAACAATAAGATCCGAACGACCATGGTGGAATGCTTTTTCTTGTATTAAATGGGTTCAATTCTTGAAATATTTTAGCATTGGCTCTTTATGAGTTAAACTAAACCAAATTAACTTTACTGTCTTTGTTTTCTTTTGAGTAGTTGTTATCAAACTAGGGAGAGATACGTCACAACTTTTATCCTTTTGTGTTGTGTTTGCGTTAGGGAAAACGACAATTGGGATCCAAAATTCCCATTCCTATGTTCTAACTTCTAACTTATGTTTACAATTGTCTGTTACTATTTATTGTAGGACCGTTTTCTCTGTTTCTATTGTATTTTATTTTATAAATAAACTTGGCTTTTTATATCATATTAAATGTGTAATCTGATTACATAAGCTCTATCTACCGTGTTATATACGTCGGATTGTGGATCCCTTTACTGTTTTAGCTCTATACTTTTGACGTTTTTAATTACTTTATTTTTTCCTTTTGTTAGGTTGTTTTTATTCACTGAGGTTTGGTTGTGAGGTTTGGTTGTGATGATGATTAAGTAGACTACTCTGTTTTATACGATTTAATAGGGCTGAAAAGGCAGAGAACACAAAAAGAGGCAAAAGATGTTTACTTGCATAGCTTGTACGAAAGCAGACGGAGGTGAGGAAGTCGAAAATGGAGCGCGTGGAGGCATCACTCCCAATACTAAAGAAGCCGTCAAAAGCCTAACCACACAGGTCTCTCTCTCTCTCTCTCTTCTTTCTTTGTTGATGCTCCTTTTTTTTTGTTCTTTCAACTTTATTTTGTTGCTTTTTTCCCTAATTGCCTTGCTAGTGAAACAAACAAAGACACAGACCCCAATTAACGTATCTAACAGAAGATCAAAAAGCAAACTCTTGCATTTGACTGATATTCGTTTCTTTAGTTTTGAGATTTTTTTGTAATTATCAAATACCAAAGGGTAGAGTTGATTTCGTTAGTAACAGTGGTCACTGTTTGTTTAGACAGAGATGCAACTTTCACTTGCTTGGAATCTTTCACCAAATCTCTCTTTAATAGGTTATGTCAGTGTTTGCTTCCCCTCAATGTGGACTAGACATGAAAGTCAAACAACTTACTGAAACAATAATTAAAACCCAGATTGAATTTTTTTTTAAAATTATGTAACCAGTTGTATTTTTTTTCTTTCTCTAGGAGTATAGTGGCTGATTAAAGCTAAGGGGGTCATGAGTTTTTTGAATATTGCTAATGAAGACTGATCTAATTATACTTTTCTCAAATAAGCTTTAGTGGATTCTTTACCTAGACAGGGAAAAAAGAAAGGGTTTGGTAAATCAAAAGAACAAAAACAAAAGAAAGAGAGGGCCGTTATGATTTGTTTCTGCAGACTGAGAAGACAAGATGAAGTATTGTTTTCAATTATGTTAGATCTCAAAGACTTTAATATATTCTTTTTAGAATGATCTATTATTGATGTTCTTTTAAGAATATAGCAGACCTCCTTTTTACTTCGTTGGGCTTAGAATATATGCTTCTTGACGCATTTGGTCATGGCTAAAGGCCTGAAACTACCTCTAATGTCTATGAAATGTCATATTCAACATTATATATTGCGTTTTAAATGCGTTTTTGGGTGTTTAATGCTATGCAGATTAAAGATATGGCTTTGAAATTCTCTGGTGCTTATAAACAATGCAAGCCATGTACTGGTTCCTCTAACAGCCCCATGAAGAAAGGACATAGACCGTTCCCAGATTATGACAATGCCTCTGAAGGTGTTCCATACCCTTACATGGGTGGAAGCGCGGGTTCAACTCCTGCTTGGGACTTCACAAACTCCTCTCACCATCCAGCTGGACGGTCAGAGTCAAAATTCACTTCAATCTATGGAAACGATCGGGAATCGATCTCTGCTCAGTCTTGTGATGTGGTGCTAGATGATGAGGGGCCTAAAGAGTGGATGGCTCAAGTAGAACCTGGTGTCCATATCACATTCGCTTCGCTTCCCAATGGAGGAAATGATCTGAAACGTATCCGCTTTAGGTATTTGAACTCTGCTCAAAACAAACCTCTATGTGTATATTCTTTGAGTTTTGACTTGAATCTTGAGCAAAACCTGCATGTCTACTGTCTCCTGTTTGGATATGTATGTTAGTTGGAAATTGCTTGAGACAAACAAGTTGACAATCAAGGCTAAAACATGAGATGGAAACTAACCATTGTTTATGTCTTGTTTTTAAAAGCCGGGAGATGTTCGACAAGTGGCAAGCTCAACGGTGGTGGGGTGAGAACTATGACAAAATCGTTGAGCTTTACAATGTACAGAGATTTAACCGTCAAGCCCTTCAAACGCCTGCAAGATCCGAGGACCAGGTAAAAAACACATATCCCAAAAAGCCAACTCTTTTAGCATTTGCCTGATGAAACCAATGCACATTGATTTTGTAATGTTCCCTTAGTCTTTCTTCAAACTTTTGTGAACCTTGTTTATTTTCAGTCACAGAGAGATTCAACTTACTCGAAGATGGAATCAGCGAGAGAAAGCAAAGACTGGACCCCAAGACACAACTTCAGACCTCCAGGAGTGAATGTCCCGCATCATTTCTATGGTGGTTCAAGCAACTATGGACCAGGAAGTCATCATGGAGGACCTCCAATGGATGCAGCACGAACCACCACTTCTTCCAGAGATGAACCACCATCAATGAGCAACGCTAGTGAAATGCAGGCTGAGTGGATCGAAGAGGACGAGCCCGGTGTTTACATTACCATCAGACAATTAGCAGATGGGACCAGAGAGCTACGTCGGGTCAGATTCAGGTATAATAAACATCTAAACTATGCATTAAGTATGAACAGTAGAGTGCTTAAACCCTATGATTTACTCTGTTTTTCCGGTTTAGGATATCGGTTACCCCCAAAAACCTAATCATTCACAACATTTACAGCATCTTGAACCCTATATTATACTCAGACAAGGCATTTAGGATCTGAGTGTTCAGTAGTTAAACCTATGATTAGTCCTGGTTTCCGGATTAGGATATTGGTTACCAAATTAGTCACAAGGTGTTTAACCATTTTGACACTCGATATCATACCGTAAACTAACCGGGATTTATGCTTGGTTTTTTTGGTTAATCAACAGCCGGGAACGATTTGGGGAAGTGCACGCAAAGACATGGTGGGAGCAGAACAGAGAGAGAATACAATCACAATACCTCTAAAAAGAAAACAGAAATATGAGTCTCTCTACCAAATCTTTAATTGATTAATCTCCTCCTCCATATAACAACACATCTATACACATTTTGCTTATCTTACTTTCTTCTTAGCTTAAGGTCTATACATAATAGCATAAACCAAGTGTTTTGAATCATCATCATCCATAGTGAAGCTAATTATATATAACCATCATCAACAGTGAAAACCTAAAAGACAAAATAAAAACACTTTGAACCTAAAAAAGGACCACAGTTCTATTTTCATGGAAGCATTATGTTTCAGCAAATGCCCTTGTCGAATCAATATATTGCCATGGAAATCTCGTAACAAAATCTGTTACTGTTTAATAAGCGTTGATCATTATAATGCGTCAAACTCAAAAACAAATAAAGAAAAGAAACTTTGGATAGATATCTTACTTCTAAAACAAAGTAGAATATCATCTTCCTTGGTTGATTTCAATGAAATCATGAATCCACTTATAAACTAAAAGGAAAAGGACATATAAATTAGGCAAACTAACTAGTGCCATACATTGAAAGCACAATCATAGCTAGCTAGGTCCCAATAAATAACTAAATTTTTATAAAATTGAGATTAAGCTTGGAAAATAAGGCCTAGCCGATAACACAGATTCGACGCAGGAACAGAAGGCATATGATCTCGTTTCTGGATCATAAATCACGAGTTTTAGATCGTTAGCCTCACAAAAACACAAGAGCTTCTTCTTCGGTAAAATGGCAAGGGGACGAATTATTCGAAACAATTGGGGCATCAAAAGAGCTTCTCTCTCTATCTCTCTCTCTTTCTCCAAATTCAGCACCCTTCTCCCATTCTTATTTTAAAACATTTTCGTCTTGTCATATTATTTCTTATTATAATTATAACTTTTTTTTTTCGGTTTTCTTCTTCATCTTTTCCATCTTCTTTATCATCAATTTCAATTTTCTTATTCTTTATGTTTTCTTTCATCTTCTTCATCATCTTCAACTTCTATATCAATTCATTCTTCAGATTTGTCTCATTCTTCTTACTCTTCTATTTTGTTCTACTCTTCTTTCTACTCTTTATCTTTTGGTTTAGTTTTTCTTCGTATTTTCTTTATTTTTCTTCTTTGGTTTTTATTCGTCTTCTTTTTCATTCTCCCTCATATTTTCTTTCTTTTCTTCTTTCTCTTATATATCTTTTTGATTTAGACTTTGTTTTCTTCTTTCTCTTATATATCTTTCGATTTTCTTATTCCTCACCATTTTCTTTCATCTTCATCATCGTTTTTGACTTCTTCTTCATCATCTTTGTAGAAAAATTGGCTTTTTTTTTTTACTTGAACTATAAAAAAATGTTAAATTCATTCCTGAACTTTATCTGGTGTTTAAACATTCTTTCAAGTTCTTAATTATTTGAATTTCATATCTAAACTTTTGTTTTTGTGCTAAAACGTACGTGAGACCAAACAAGTGTTAAGGAGCCATCAAGTCTTGTTGACGTGGCCGCCACATCAGCAATGCTAAGAAAAAAAATTCAGGACGAAATGGGCAAGAGAATTTCATGAATAACGACCATGTTTTGGAAGAGAAGTTGAAGAAATCCAAAAGTTTTACAACTCTCAGGAAGAAAACCGGTAAATCCAAGAACGATTCGTTAAAAGCGGAAGTTTCGTTCTCTCATGTATCCCCAATTCGATCGGAGACGACAAAGAGGCGGAAAAAAAAAATATTTTGGGCTGCAATAAACGCTGGAGATTGAGTCGATAATGCATTGAAGGACATGGCGGTTGTGATGAAACAGTTAAACCGATCTGATGAAGGAATTGAAGCCATCAAATCCTTTTGGTATCTCTGTCCTTTCGAGGTTCAAGACTCCATTGATAACATACTCCTCGAACTCTACAAAGTAATTAAGAACAACTCTTCTTCTTTTTTTATTATGCAAGTGTTTGTAATTGCAGGCACAAAGAAAACACAAATGCACTGAATGATCTATCTTATTCCATAGCCGTTCAATGCCCTTTATAGTTCGTACAACTGAAACAAACAACTAACACCGAAAATAAAGGACACGAGCTCCACTAGCTCAACTACTCCTAATAAGACGCATAATGAAATTGACTAAGTAAAAACTAGAGACACAAGTCTCTTATTCCTAAACAGAAGCAAATGACAAAGACTCAAAACGACTCAACAAACCCTCCCTTGAACTGAACCTTCCCGAGCATTCAGTTCACACTGCTCATTCCAAAAGCTTCTCTGATCTTCTGAAATGTCGCCAGCTTCAAAGGCTTAGTCATGATGTCAGCTAGCTGCTCCTCCGTGTTACAGGAAACAAGCTTAACCACGCCTTCCTTGGCTAAATCTCTGAGAAAATAATAACGAACCCTTATGTGCTTGGACCTTCCATGCATTACTGCATTTTTAGACAGCTTAATGGTGGAAGTGTTATCACACAATAACACCATCTCTCCTTCCTGCTCATGCCTAATCTCCTTTAAAACTCTTCTCATCCAAATGGCTTGACACGCACAAGTTTCTGCTGCAACATACTCTGCTTCGGTGGTTGATAAAGTCACAATAGGTTGCTTGCGAGAGGACCATGCGACAGCTCCTCCACTCATCAAAAAGACATATCCCGAAGTACTCTTGCTGTCATCTATGTCGCCTGCGTAATCAATATCTGTGTAACCGATCAGCTCAGCTTTTCCTCCTTTCTTGTACCAGATCCCATACTCCATAGTTTCCTTTAGATATCTCATGATTCTCTTTACAGCAACAAAATGTAGTTGAGTGGGATTAGCCATGAAACGACTAATAAGACTTGCCACGAACATCAAATCAGGGCGTGTTGCAGCAAGATACATTAAGCTCCCCACCATCTGTTTGTACTGAGTTGGATCTGCCTTCACTCTTGCTTCATCTCGGCTGATCTTCTGTCCAGGAACCATTGGATTACAAACAGAGTTGAAATCCTGCATTTTGAACCTCTCGATCACCTCAGATGCATATTTCCTCTGACAAATGAAAGTGACTTCATCCTTCTGTATCACCTCAATGCCAAGATCTCATTTTTCCCAAATCAGTCATATCGAACTCCTTCTTCATAGATAGCTTGAACTCATTCAACATCTCATCATCATTTCCAGTGAACAGCAGATCATCAACATAGATGCTAACAATGAGAATTTTACCTTCCCTGCGCTTGATGAACAAAGCCTGTTCGCTGGAGCTGCTCACAAAACCTTCCTTGATGAAGTAACCCTCAATACGACTGAACCAAGCTCTGGGTGCTTGTTTCAGCCCGTAAAGAACCTTATGCAGCTTGTAAACCAAGTGAGTTTTCCCAGTTACCCCATACCCTTGTGGTTGCTCCACAAATACTTCTTCCAACAGCTCGCCATGTATAAAAGCGGATTTTACATCCAACTGATAAACATTCCATCCTCGGTGAGCTGCTACAGCGAGTATCATCCTTACTGTATCCATCCGAGCCACTGGTGCGAACACCTCCGTATAATCTATACCATACTCTTGAGCATAGCCTTTCACCACAAGTCTTGCTTTGAACTTTTCGACTTCTCCTACCTCATTAAATTTTGTCTTGTAAATCCATTTCACCCCGATTGCTTTGGCGCCATTTGGGAGAGCCACCAAGGACCAAGTTCCATTCTTCTCTATTGAGTTCATCTCTGCATTCATTGCTTCTCTCCATCTTGAGTCTTTTACAGCTTCCTCAAACCTGGTGGGATCTGTGATTACCATGAACGCTAGAGTTTGAGAAACCATACCCTCAGTTCTTGCCATGTTTGCCTCTTCTTCTTCTGCATCTGACAACTCTTCTCCAGTTGTGAAATCAGAGTGCCAAACCGGTGGTCTTCTCGGTCTGCCTACTGTCGAAGTTGATGCTTCTGTGTGGACTTGAGTTTGCTGCGTGGGATGATCCACATTCTGATTTCCTCCTTCTTCTGCAGTTTCTGCATTTTCTTCTGCATTCTGATCTCCTTTTTCTTCTGCGTTCTCTATCTCCCCTTCGTTTTCATTTTCTGTGTACTCATACTCGTCTTCCCATTCAAGCTCCACATTCTGTTCATCTGAGTAGCTTGCATCCCAGTTCCATTTCTTTTCTTCTTCAAATGTAACATCACGGCTGATGTGGATCTTCTTTTCCACTGGATCAAACATTTTGAACGCCTTTGGTTCACTGCTATATCCGATCATGACACACTTCACACTTTTGTCATCTAGCTTGGTCTTTTTAGCATCAGGAATATGAACATATCCGATGCACCCAAAAACTCTGAAGTGCTCAACCAATGGTTTGGTTCCAGTCCATGCTTCTTCCGGAGCCATATCTTTCACAATCACAGTTGGGGATCTGTTGAGTACATGGTTTGCCCATTGAACTGCATCTGGCCAGAAACTCTTTGGAACTTCTTTCTCTGACAACACAGCCCTCACCATGTTCATGATTGTTCTGTTTTTGCGTTCAGCAATGCCGTTTTGCTGAGGGGTATAGGCGGTGGTCAGCTGTCGCCTAATTCCATGCTCCTTGCAGAATTCTTTGAACTCACTTGAGTTGTATTCCCCTCCTCTATCTGTCCTTAGGTATTTGATGAAGCATCCAGTTTGTTTTTCCACCAATGCCTTGAATTGCTTGAATTGCTGAAAGGCTTCTGATTTCTCCAGCACAAAATATATCCAAGTTTTGCGTGAGAATTCATCTATGAAACTGATTAGGTACCTCTTCTGGCTGTTGGAAGGTGGAGTGATTGGCCCACACAGGTCAGAATGGACGAGTTGCAGCTTCTCTGTCGATCTCCACTTACTTTGTTTTGGAAATGGTGTTCGATGATGTTTTCCTTTGAAACATGCTTCACAGGTCACTTTTACTTCTCCAATGTCAAGAAACCGGTTACCATCTCCTTGTTGCGTAGAGTGAGGAGACCTTTATTGCTTAGGTGTCCATATCGGTGATGCCATAACTCAGCTTTGTTGGTGACATCAACTTGGAGACATCTTTCTTCGGTTGCTTTCCCATTCTCCCCGAGCAGAATAAACATTCTGTTTGCACTCATAACTGACTCTGCAATCTTTCCTTTGGTGGGATGAAAAATACTTCAGGTTTTCCGATCTCCTTTGAACAACACGTCCAGCCCCTTCTCTTGAAGTTGTCCAACACTCAATAAGTTGTTTCTCAAATCGGATACATAGTAAACATCATTCATCACATAGTTTACTCCCTTGAGCATGATCTCCACAGTACCCTTTCCATTAACCATGAGTTTGTGATTGTTCCCAAGCTTGACATTGTGAGTGAATGCAGAATCCAGATGAGTAAACAAGCTTTGTTCTCCACACATGTGAATTGAGCAGCCAGAGTCCACAAACCAAGCATTGCTCCTCTTCGTCCCTTGAAGTTCCACATACGCCATCAACAGAACCTTGTCTTTCTCTTCCAGTTCTGCATAGTGAGCCCCATTGTCTGCATTTGGGCATTCATACTGGAAATGCCCCAGATTATGACACTTGTAGCATTCGATCACAGCCTTGTTGAATGAGCGTCCTCTACCTCTGCCTCGTCCTCGGTAAGAACCTCTGCCCCTGCCTCTGACATTCAAGGCTTGATCCTCTTCTTCATGACTGTTCCTCCTGAATTTCTTCTCATGTACAGATAAGGAACTCTGCAACTCATCGATAGTCATCTTCTCTGTGTCTTTGGATTCTTCGATAGACACCACCACGTACATGAACTTGTCAGTCAAGGTTCGAAGAATTTTCTCAACAATCTTCGAGTCTGACATGTTTTCACCATTGCTTCTCATCTTGTTCGATACCGCCATTACCCTTTTGAAGTAATCATCAATGCTTTCATCACCTTTCATTGCGAGAACTTCAAAATCACTTCTTAGAGTTTGGAGAAGTGACTTCTTCACTGTTTCGTTACCTCCAAACTTTCCTTTCATTGAATCCCAAATGATCTTGGATGTTTTACGATCCAAGATCTGTTCGAACACTTCACGATCCAGCGCCTGGAACAGGTAGTGCTTCACCTGATGATCTTTCATCTTGAGATTCTCGAGTGGCTTCTGCTGCGCTGCAGTCACCTCGGTTCCCTCTGCAACTTCGGTGTAGCCTTCTTCCACCAGGCTCCATAATCCCTTGGCCCTCAAGAGATTCTCCATCAGTTCACTCCAATGATCGTAATGACGACCATCAAAGTGAGGAATTTTGGTAAGTGTTTTATCGTCGCTCATTGTTTCTCTCTTTTCTCTCTTTGATCAATCGTTTTGTATTTTGCTCTGATACCAATTGTAATTGCAGGCACAAAGAAAACACAAATTCACTGAATGATCTATCTTATTCCATAGCCGTTCAATGCCTTTTATAGTTCGTACAACTGAAACAAACAAATAACACCGAAAATAAAGGACACGAGCTCCACTAGCTCAACTACTCCTAATAAGACGCATAATGAAATTGACTAAGTAAAAACTAGAGACACAAGTCTCTTATTCCTAAACAGAAGCAAATGACAAAGACTCAAAACGACACAACAGTGTTATGTAAGTTTTCTTTAGTGTTAATATGTGAAAATGGGTTTTTGCAGAAGTCAGAGGATAGAAGAAGAAGCTGAATTACTTTGCACAAACTGAAATAAGTCGAACAAGGAATGGGATTTAGTGGTAGATTTATTAGAGCTAAAAAGGTTCAAGGCAAACATGTCACAATGACTATCGAGCAAGAGAAAGCAAGGTGACAATTTACTCCTCTCTTGTTCTCTTAATGAGTACTTTTGTCTCTTGAACTGTCTTCTCCATTGTTCTTTCCACATTTTAGGGTACTAGGGAACTTTAGCTGGGTTCATTTACAGCTACATAACTATGAAAAATAACCCAAGAAGGGAAAGAAACTGGACCAGAACATGATTCATAATCTCCATGAATATATCAAAGATACTGCAGATTGTATGAAGAGTGGATCTAAGACGAGCTGGGCAGATATTGCAGAGGAGGAGGAAGAAGAAGAAGAAGAAGAAGAAGAAGAAGAGAGATTGCAGGCAGAGCTTGAAACTGCAGTGATTTAGGATCTAATCGTACTGGTTATATCAAGTTTTTTGATCCGAGAAATTGTATAGGCTTGACATTGAAATATATTCATAGACAACAAAAAAACATAGGCATATGTGATTACACTCCAGAACAAATTTTAGTTTTATTTAGAAAGAAATTCAATAACAAAACACACGATACACAAAAAACAGAGATCAATTTGATAGAGACGACACCGTCAGATTCAGCTTTACTGTTGTAGACTTATTGGAACTAATTTTCTTGTCTTTAGGTTTTTTTCCTCTTCTTTGTCTTCGCTGATCGAATTGTGAATACATGAGAGAACAGTTCAAATAAAATTATAAATGACTGTACTTTTCTGACTGGTTCTGATCCCTAAATCGATTATGTTGCCGTCGAGTGTCAAAGGTTTGAATGAAAGAGGAGGAAGTAAAAAAAAACAAAGCGATGCCGTTTTCGCCCATAACTAAACAATTTTAGTTTTTTTTGTTAAATCCGCAAATCCAAAACGACACTGTTGATGACGTGGATGCCACGTAAACATCGTTTAACGGATTGTTAACACTGATCAGACGGAAATTGGGTTACGCACAAAAACAATAGCTTAAGGATGAAATTCAAATTTTTATAACAATTAAGTATATTTACACCAGAAAATTTGTTTAGGCCTAAATTTAACATTTTTCAAAAGATTAAGTTGGAATAGGCCAATTTTCCCATCTTTGTACTGTATTCATAAATGTTTTGAAGCAAATAACTATTAGGCCATGTATTTACAATAGAAAAACTTCTAAACCTGAAAAAATCATTTAGAGCACGAACTAAAATAAAAACATAAATTTATATTTATACCTAACAATTCCATTGTAAAGCAAGAAATAAATTACAGAACCAGCGAAGTATCAATTATACAAAAAATAATAGGATGCTGTCATTAGGAATAGGCATAACTAATAGTCGAGATTGGTTTTTTTTTTTAAGAGATGGATGATTTTTTTTTTAAAAAATGCTATGATCGTGTTTTTTTAAAAATAAAGAGGTCGACGTTTTTTTTTAAATGTTATAATTGTTTTTAAAGGAAAGATGTGAAATTTTTTTTAAATGCTTAAACTTAGTAAACAGATGTTTTATGTAAAAAATATGATAACCAATATGGTATATATAGCAAGATAGATACGCTAGGGTTTAGGTTAGTACCGTCTTCTACATCGGTGGCCCATAAATCGGTGGCTAGGATGAACATCAAGATCGATGGCCTATTAACAAAATCGCTGACCCATAATTGAGGAGAAAGCCATGTCATAGATATTTACACGTAGAATTAATGATCGACCTATCAAAACTAATTAAAATGATACATAATTATTTTAATTAATGACATATAAGACAATTTTTGTGATGATGACACATCAGATTTTTGACTTAACAAATAATAGTATAGATAATAAAATTTTCCTATTTCAATAAAATAATTTTTTTTTATAAAAAATTATGACACATAAATTAATATATTTTTCTCTGTCCAGTTGAGATAGTACAATAATTAGCAAAAATTCGATAACATAATAAAATAATAATTTTCCAATTTTTTTTTGTTTAAATATATGATCTCAGTTATATCATAAATAATTAATTCTATAGGTTATGCATATATATATTTATAAGATAATTTACTAAAGTATGAAGCTAATGTTGCTTGTGTTTTTTTTGAGAGAACCGAGTGTTACAGCCCTTCAAAGCTATGTCTGGAAAGTATGGACGCCTGGAAAAATGAAGCATTTTATGTGGCAAGCTTTATCAGGATGTATTGCTACTTGCCAAAACCTAACCTATAGGCATATGGGAACATATAAGAGTTGTCCCCGCTGTGGGAATCCTGAAGAATCTATTAACCATCTTTTGTTTTTATGTCCCCCGGCTTTACAAGTCTGGGCGTTATCGGACTTTCTGTCCCTTCCGGGTCTTTTCCCGAGTACTTCTATTTACCAAAATATGAGTTTTCTCTTTTGGAAAACAAAAGAGTTAGGCATGACAGATCCTCAAAAGGATTTTTATCCTTGGATCTTGTGGTACATTTGGAAAGCGAGGAACGATAAGATCTACAACGGGAAAGAAATTTCCCCAGTAGATACCTTGATCCACGCCAAGGTTGAAGCAGAAAGTTGGAAGATTGCAAACCAACCAGAAGAAGTAGAGGACGAACCAGATGAGGCGCCACTCACTACTTTGCTCCGGAATCCTCTACCCGATGTCGAGAGGTTACCGCTGTGTCAGGTCGATGCTTCCTGGATAAGTAACGGCCTGGTCAGTGGGCTCGGATGGAGTCTAAAGGATGAGAGGGGTGGTGAGATCTTTGGCCTACAGGGCTGCCGTAGAAGCCTATCGGTCCTTCATGCCGAATTGGAGAGTCTGTTATGGGCTATGTCTTGTGTGATAGAGAGACAAATCTTATCCGTTCACTTTCAGACTGATTGTTCGGATTTGGTAAGCATGTATGAATCTCCATCGGATTGGCCATCTTTTTCATCAGAGCTGGAAGCCTTTCGTATTCTTCGGGAAAGCTTTTTGGATTTCAATCTATCACATATCCCCAGAAGTTCAAATGTCCGAGCAGATAGTCTTGCAAAAGGAGCTCGAGCAAGAGACGATATTTTCTACCAAATCATTCATAACGAGCCAACTGCGGATGGTTTTCGGACTAATTCCTTAACGGGCCAAATGTGATGTAACAATTGGGTTGTGGAAAAAAAAAATTAAATTATCTCTAATTTTCTTTATTACATCAGAATTTTGTAGTATTTTTTTTTATATGGATCTAATTTTTTTGAAGAGTTCTAGATGAGATAAGTGATTTTTTATGCTTATAAGTTTTTTTTAAAAGTATCTTAGGTTAAGTTTTTTAACAAAGATTATTTTTACATTAAGAGTCCAATAAGTTAGTAACACTGACAAAATCTCGGCTAGCTAACAAAGTTTTTTTATTCTCTTCGTCTCTTGCTCTCATACTCGGCATCATCAGTCTGAAGCTGGAATCTACAAAGAGGACAAGAGTTTCTTGTTCTTAACCATGGCAGAATACAACTCTCATGGTAACAGTGTCCACATGGAAGCTTCTTACCGATTTCACCCATCACCATTGCATCTGTACACACAGCACAATCTCCTTGCGAAGAAGAAGCAACCTCGAAAGTCTCTACGGCCTCCATCGCTGATTTAGCAGCTGGTGGTGCTCCTCCTCTCCTTCCACGAATACCGTTTCTAGTTTGTTCAACATTCCGAAACAAATTTTGTACAAGTAACCTGGTATCAGCTATAATCCAACGGAGATCGAGATCGTCGTGGGACATTGTTCCTAGCTATCTGTAAAATTGGTGAATTAGTTGGAATGTTAGGGTTGTGTTTATTTTTATATACAAACGTAAAGACTGTATTCTAATCCTAACGAGAAAAGGAATTCTTAAGGCGAAAAGGAAATTACATAGAAAAGTAAAATACAAGAGTAATTATCTAAGATAGTACAGTAAAACCTCTATAAATTAATAATGTTGGGACCACAAGATTTTATTAATTTATCGTGATATTAATTTATTTATAAATTAATAATTATTAATTTATAGAGGAAAATTGTTTTTCGCCTATTTTCTTCTTAAATTTTCTTTCAAATGATGTTATATTTAAGAATATAAACTCATATGCTTATAAAATGACATATAAAAATTTAAAATTATGATTACTAATCATAATAATTACAATAAAATAATTGTAAATGTTCATTATTACAAAATTTATAAAAAGTTTATGGCTATTATCCTTGATGTTGGTGCTGAAATTGAAGATAATACTATAATATATTTTAAAATAATTATACGTAAGAAAATTAATTATCACATCTAAATTTTTTCATAAATTTTGAATGGAGATAAAACAAAAAAAAACAACATTATAAGCTATTAACATAAATAAATAAAGAGTTGATTTTCTATAAAATTTCAAACTTAAATAAAAATAAACAACACATTAAACATATTCTAGTATATTATATATTACCTATATATATACATGAATTTATATAATTATTAATTTATGTTTATGTTGGGACCATATATTTACATAGGGATTTCAAAAAAATTATTATCTTATTATTTTATCGAATTTGATAGATTTTTATACTGGCCCAACTCGGGACCAAAAAAAATTATTAATTTATAGTGATTATTAATTTATCGAGTATTAATTTATAGAGGTTTTACTGTATGTTTTGTTCAAGTTCATCTTTTCCTTTATTAATTGGTTGATAGAAATCTGCAAAGCGAACCCAAAAAAAAGAAAAGAAAAAATAGATACTTAGTATTAAGGGAAAAACTCTTATCTTATGGTTTCCATAAGCAGTGTATATATACATTACATAACTAATGTATCAGAAACCCTAATGGGCCATGAGAAATTAACTTGATGGTTAATGGGCCGGTTACTAGAAGTCCATTTGTTTATATCACTCCCCCTTGGACAAGGTAACCGTGCCTGTCACAAAACCGGGATCTCTATAATGCGCTGGGGAACGTTGCCTCATTAAAACCTTACCAGGAAAACCCAGTGGGAAAAACCATGGTGAAGGAAAAAGAGTACAACACGCATTACTCCCCCTGGTTTAGGCATCACTGTAGATCTCTAAGTCTACGCATTCCTATCTGATGAATGAGCTTCCGGAGTGTAGAAGTCGGTAATGATTTAGTGAATAGATCGGCTGAATTTTCGTTTGATCGGACTTGCTGAACCTTGACCTGACCATCCTTCTGTAGCTCATGAGTGAAGAAGAATTTGGGCAGAATATGCTTCGTCCGGTCACCTTTGATGCCGTCTTTGAGTTGAGCGATACAAGCTGCATTGTCTTCATACATCACCGTAGGCTCCTTATCTTCGTCCATACCACAATCTGATCGGATATGCTGAGTCATGGACCGCAACCAAACACACTCTCTACTAGCTTCGTGAATGGCCAAGATTTCCGCATGGTTGGATGAGGTAGCGGCAATAGTCTGCTTCATGGATCTCCAAGATATGGCTGTTCCTCCATGCGTGAAAACATAACCGGTTTGAGACCGGGCACAGTGCGGATCTGAAAAATATCCTGCATCAGCAAAACCAACTAGACCATCCTTGTTATGGTTAGAATAAAATAATCCCAAGTCCTTAGTACCTTGAAGGTATCTAAGGATGTGCTTAATACCGTTCCAGTGCCTTTGAGTTGGACACAAACTAAAGCGAGCTAAGAGGCTCACGGCAAAGCAGATGTCTGGTCTAGTGTGACTAGCCAAGTACATTAATGCTCCTATGGCACTGAGGTATGGCATTTCAGGACCGAGGATTTCTTCATCGTCCTTCTTTGGACCGAATGGATCACTATCCAATCCAAGGCTCCTCACAACCATTGGGCTGGTCAATGGGTGGGCCTGGTCCATATTGAATCTCTTGAGTACCTTTTCAGTGTATGCCAATTGATGCACAAGGATTCCGTCATTGACGTACTCAAGTTGTAATCCCAAACAGAATTTAGTTTTGCCTAGGTCTTTCATTTCAAACTCTGCTTTTAAGCATTCAACTGTTTGGGCGATTTCACCAGATGTTCCGAGGATGTTCAAGTCATCCACGTATACTGCTATGATTACAAATCCTTTGTTTTAATATTTTCTGATGAAGATGCATGGACTGATCGGATCGTTTTCGTAGCCTTCTCTGATGAGATATTCGCTTAACCGGTTATACCACATACGTCCGCTTTGTTTCAGTCCATATAAGGATTTGTTCAGCCTAATGCAGTGTTTATCACGAGATGCATGCTTATCTTTGAGCTCAATACCATCTGGTAATCTCATATAGATTTCACTGTCCAGTGGTCCATAAAGATATGCGGTTACAACATCCATTAACCGCAAATCTAAGTTTTCTCTTATGGCCAGACTTATGAGGAATCGAAATGTAGTTGCATCCACCATTGGAGAATAAGTCTCCTCATAATCGATTCCGGGTCTCTGTGAGAATCCTTGTGCTACAAGGCGTGCCTTGTATCTAACGACTTCGCCGAGTTCGTTTCTTTTACGCACAAAGACCCATTTGTTTCCCACTGGTTTAACATCGAATGGTGTCCTTAAGATCGGACCAAACACATTCCGTTTCTTTAAACTATTCAACTCCACGTTTATGGCTTCTTTCCATTTCAGCCAATCTGATCTACGAGTGCACTCAATTATAGACGTGGGTTCTAGATCCTCTTGCGTGTGCGCAATCTCAAGTGCTACCTTGTATGCAAAAGTTTCATTGATGTCGACATCTTTTCTGTTCCATAGAGAACCGAATATGATATAATTGATTGAGATCTCATTATTATCAATCCCTTCAGAACCTTGAGTTTTGGCGTCCCAAACCTCTTGAGATGGTTCGATAGGGTAAGTATCAGCTGAGGCTGTATCCGTGTTCTCTTGAATCCCGGTTTCAATCATTGCACCTTTCTTTGATTTCTGGAGATTCTTATCTTTGGAACCTGGTGGTCTGCCACGTTTCTTACGTGCGTCAGACTCTGTAGCAACTTGACTTTTCCCTGAGGGGACATCTATTCGTACTGCTGCATTACAAGCTGGTATGTACAATTTGGTAACTTTGTTCGGGTCAGCAAAGGAATCTGGCAATTGATTAGCTAGCTTTTGTAAATGTATAATTCTTTGGACCTCTGAATCACATTCTAGAGTCCGAGGATCTTGCCATTGTGTGGATGTTTGATTCCATGAAAGTTCTTTTACCAGCTTGTCTGTCTCACCACCTAATCTAGGATATACCGATTTATCAAATCGGCAATCTGCATATCTGGCTTTAAACAGATCTCCTGTAGTTGGCTCGAGATATTTTATGATGGTGGGAGAATCAAAACCAACATATATTCCCATCCTCCTTTGAGGTCCCATTTTTGTCCTCTGTGGTGGTGCAATGGGTACATAGACTGAACACTCAAATGTTTTAATATGGGAGACGTCTGGCTCATGACCCGTTAGCAATTGGGATGGTGAATATTTGTGCTCACTAGATGGTCGTATGCGTATTAGTTCAGCGGCATGTAAGACTGCGTGTCCCCAAGCTGAGACCGGGAGTTGTGACCTCATGAGTAATGGTCTAGCAACCCATTGAATTCGTTTAATGAAGGATTCAGCTAATCCATTTTGTGTATGGACATGTGGAACGGGATGTTCAACACTTACCCCCATGGACATACAATATTCATTAAACGCTTGGGAAGTGAATTCACCAGCATTATCAAGACGTATAGTCTTTAATGGGAAGTCTGGAAAATGGGCTCGTAATCTGATGATTTGGGCCAATAACCTAGCAAAAGCCTGGTTCCTAGAAGAGAGCAGACAGACATGCGACCAGCGGGTCGATGCGTCAATGAGGACCATGAAATATCTGAATGTCCCACAAGGTGGGTGAATTGGTCCACATATGTCTCCTTGGATTCTTTCCAGAAAGTTCAAGGTCTCTTTAGACACTTTGACTGGTGAAGGTCGGGTAATCAGTTTCCCTTGTGAGCAAGCTGTGCACTTGAGATGCTGAGGGAAAATACCATTTGGTTTAAGGCTGTGCCCTTTAGAATTCTGGACTAATTTACGCATCATGTTCGCACTGGGATGACCCAGGCGATCATGCCAAATAGTGTAATCTAAAAACCGTGCTTTGATAGCAGCATTAGCCTCAATCATACTGACTTTAGCATGGTAAATGCCAGTAGATACGGCGGGTATAGTTTCAAAAACTTGTTTATGGCCATTTATCATTTTAGTGATAATTAAAAACTCTTTGTTCCCTTCATCCTGAGTTTCGATATGGAAACCATTCAATTTTATGTCTTTGAAACTCAATAGGTTTCTATTAGAACTGGGTGAGTATAAGGCATCAGAGATGTCTAGATATGTGCCATTTGATAACAACACATTAGCTTGGCCATGGCCCTCTATTAGGCTCGAACTACCCGCTATAGTGCTAATGTTTGCGGTTTTGATTACTAAATTTATGAAGTAATTCTTGTCTTTTAGAATAGTGTGGCTCGATCCACTATCCACAATGATATCCATATTGTCTTGCATATCTTTATTAAACAAGAATTATTATTCAATAACATGAAAAAATGAGATGTAAATAAAACATTACTCCATAAATTAAAATGTAAAAGCAAAAGGTTTTAAAAATCCAAAGTAAAGACAATAAATCCCAAAAAACAAAAGATAAAAGTTTAAGGAGTAATGAAAAACAAATTCAGATTTTTGAGATCAATCAAGGAGGTCGGAGAGCTCATAATCCATGC